AAATAAACATTTGAAATATATGAGTTTGTATGTAAGGTATGAATATAATATACAAGTTTCACTTTTTAAATGGAATTGCTGAAATAAATCTACTTTTTCATGATATTCTAATTTTATGACCAGCACCTGTATATATGGTATCCATACACATACACATATATATACACATATACACATACATATACAGTATATCTATACATACACATATGCACATATCATTCAATCAGTGTCCGACCAGAAAACCCAGGATGTAAACACCTGTTCGTGTGCGGTTGTGAGCATGCATGTATACAAGATCTCTGCAATGGATTGTTCAAAAGTGACTGTGGAGGACCACAGACCCAACCCGTAAAGCCCGAAGCCGACATAAAGGAGACCAGTGCCAAGGACCCTGAGAGGGACCCCAAGTGCGGAGCCCCCAGAGGCACCCATGCCGGGAGGACCACCTACCCACCCCCCAAAGGGGACCACAGGAGAGAACAGGGAGGGCCCCACCAACGACCACACGCAGTGAACCCATGGGGCCAGTAGCGACGAGCTCACAGGCCCCGCCCGCACCCACCATGCCAGAGCAGATCCAGGCATGGACACAGAGGACTGGGACCCCACGGTGTCGGACGCATTTTGCACATGCAAAAGCGGGTGAGTAGCTAATTATTCCTAGTACATGAAGGAGCTAGTACATAAACGAGCTTGTGAAATTCTGGATTATGTTTTGATTACGTAGATCCGGTTGTGTATGCTTCTTTACTTATTTATTTCAAGCCTGTAAAGTTACTTATTAGCAAAGAGAGACAGTGAAAACAGTAGCCACGTGTGTGCCTGTAGCCAAGGCACATACTATTTGCCTTGGACTGAAACTGTCTATGCTTATTTTGCCTGTCTAATTTAGCAAAGTTTGCTTTTTGTTTTTGTTTGTAAGTTTGTTTAGCAAATGAAGCGTACTGACTCAGTTTTCAAAGGTTGGCATGAATGTCCCAGCATCTGTTAAGGTGTGTGTTTTAACAAATTAGATATCTGATTAATTATTTTACATTTTTCCAAACTCCGTTTGGGTTTAGGAAATGTAATAAACTTTATTCCGCCCTCTAGATGCTCTGGGTAACGCGTGTCGGAACTGCACGTTCCCCACTGACAAAGTTTAACCATTTTTTTAATGATTATTTTACAACTTATCTATATGACCGCAACACGTCCGCAATGATGAACCCGACCCCTGTATTGTCGGAGGCAAAGGGGCGTTTCTCCAGGCAAGGGGCGTTTCACTTCGGGACAAAATGCGGCCACTGATTGGTCAGTTGCTGACAAACCCACATGACTGATTGACAGGTTGCGTCATTTCAATTAAAATGTTTAGGGAAACTACATGAGCCTGTGTTTATGTGGTCACCTACAGTGACTTTAAATTAAAAATGGATATTAAACTACTTGTAAAAATGAAGTGCCATTGGCAGTACAGTTGCTTATAGATGTAAAACTTATTATATGTATTAATGCTAAGTTTAAACATGTACAAAAAGTGAAGAGTGATTATCTTACCTTGGGGTCTGGGTGCCTACATATCATGAGACTGACTGGTCCTGGGCCACATACATTAAGAATAGCGTAGGCCTCACTGAGAGCAGCATGACGAAGACTGACTGAGTCCACCTCCAGTATCTGATCTCCACGACTAGACACAGATTGTCAACATTTTTCTTTTTAAATTTAATTCAACTGATCTTAACACATTTTCTTCAAATTAATGTAAAACTTTTACCTGAGCCTTCCATCAAACTTGGCAACAGATCCCAAAGCCAAGCTATGAATGTAGATACCAGGAGTGAAGTTTTCCAAAGTCAGAGAACAAATTCCAATCCCCAGACCAACACCAGGCTCTAAAATATGGACAATAAGAACAAGTGCTCAAGTTCAGCAAATGTGCATTGCAATTCATAAAAGAATAACATTCCAAATTTAGGTCTATCATCCCTTGAAGGAATCAAACCAAGTCAAATTTATTTATTTTACATAGCCCTTTAAAAAAACAATTGTTGTTGGCCAAAGTGCTACATACAATGCAAATAGTAAAAACATAACACAGGACACAAAAAAATCATAAAAAACAAACAAAATAAAAACTGTGAAAAATAAATGACAACAATTAAAATACACTGTCATCCGGAATTAATAGTCAGTGAGTACAAAAGCTGAATCATCTTGTGGACTAGCCCGGATCTTGGAACAACTAAAAGCAAATGATCATTAGATCTAAGAAATCTGGAGGACACATAAGGCTGCAGTAGTTCAGACAGAAATGCAGACATCCATTAAAACCAGTTCTAAAACAAACAGGGAGCCAATAAAGGAGCGCAGCACCAAGGAGATATGGTCTAACCTTTTAGCAAAAAAAATGATGCAGAAAAACTGATTCATGCAAATCTAGGCTGGACTACTGTAATTCTTGATTTTATGGCTCCCCGTCATATTCAGAATATAATTTAAAATCTTACTTCTAACACATAAAGCTCTTAACAACCAAGCTCAATCATATATTGAACATCTTATTGTTCCATACTTTCCTAACAGAGCACTTCGCTCTCAGACTACAGGTTTACTTGTGGTTCCTCGAGTTTCTAAAAGTAGAATGGGAGGCAGAGCTTTCAGTCTTCAAGCTCCTCTCTTGTGGAACCAACTTCCAGTTTCTGTCCGTGAGGCTGACACTCTGTCTGCTACTACTACTGTCGGCTCGGAGCATGTGATTTGTCAGAAATTCATGTGTGTGTTTGTTCATGAGGAGCAACACAGAGATAAGGAGCTGGACCAGAGCTCCGAGCAGCTCTTCATTTTGCATGTTATTTTGTTTAAAATGATTTTTTTTATCTGAAGCCTGTTGGTAAAAGGACTAGAAGAGCAGCTGGTTTGATCTTATTGAACGTGAGCATGCATCTATTGCTCACGTCTTTTTCCATCACCGTCATTAACAAAAAAACAAAAATAAAAATACAAAAACAAATGTTTTCCTCCAGACTTTTCACCCAACTGATCATTGAGTGAAAAAAAAAAACATCCAGCCATCAATATTGTTGTTAACATACTTATATAAGCTGTGGGAGGGCAGAGGAAGGATTTAGGATATTTTATGACCAGCTGTATCTTCAGTGTCAGTTTGTCCTCCAGCAATCCAAGCCTATAGCAGCATAACTAAGGAATAACTCAGGAAACCTAAGCCTAACTATAGGATTTATCAAAAAGGAAAATCCAAAGCTTGGGTTATACTTCAGTAAGAAATAAGACAGCAAGGGATTGTCTTTTCGGACGTCTTTTACCTGACCAAGTATAAACGGGCTGAAGACACAATTATATATAACCATGACCATCAGAAGCATTGTAATTTCCCACTACTAAACTGGTTCTTCCTGTTTCGTAATTCATAAACACCCTTGTCAAATGCTCGGGGTAGGGGGGTACTTTAGGGGTGGCTGTGGTAAGTGGTTAGAGGAGTCATCCTGGAACCGGAAGGTTGCCGGTTCAATCCCCCTTCTAGCTGTCTCAGTTGTTGTGTCCTTAGGCAAGACACTTCACACCTAATGCCCATCAGTGTATGAATGTGATTGGCACTGATTAGTCTCCATACGTGATTGTACATTTTAGCTTTGTAGAGACCTAGTAGAGTGCTGTGTGAATGGGTAAATGAAGGCACAGATTGTAGTGTGAAGCACTTTTGAGTATCCTGGATGGATAGAACAGTGCTACATAAGTACAGTCCATTAACCATTTACTTTCTATGTCACTACGTTAGTACATCAGACTTTGGCACACAAAACAATAATACTGTTGATACAGAAGAAGGAACATTTATTAGAGATGTTCTGCTTCTCTGTTAAAGCAACTGAATTCACAAAGGTGAAATTTAAGACTGGATAATTGTTCACTAAAATAATTTCCTTAAATTTAAAGCTCAAAAAAGTCAATTTTGTATAATAGCTCTCTTTAAAGCAGTGCATTTTGATTCACAATTCCCCATTGTAATGGATAGATCCACACAGATCACATGAAGCAAGTAAAATTCTGCTGAGACATCCCAAATGCAGCAGTTAAGGATCACATTGCATGAAGCCACATGATTGCAGAATGATATTAAATCCTACCATGTGGTACTTGAAAATTAAAGTTATTATTAATTATGTTGACATATATATTTTTTTGTTTAGTACAATAAAAGTGCAGAGCTCAAGGTCCTTGAGTTTATGAGGGACTGTGTGCAGGGACTCAAACATCATAAGAAAAGCACAGGAGAAGAGCCCCTTGAAATATGCAACAGTTAGGCAGATGGAGTGTCTGGACCATTAGGACCCAGCCAAATGCCTGAATCACATGAAGACTCTTGTTCAGACCTTCCTGAAGAACAAGCAGCTGACACGAGGTGTACCTAATTTTAATTTTGTACAGTCCCTGGCTGGTCCCACTCAAGAACACGAACACACACTTGATTTGGTTTTATCTTTTGGTTTACCTGTTTTTAATTTGCAGATCTGTGAAGCTGTTTTTTCTGATCATATGCCTGTTTTATTTGATGTCACTCTCACTCGTCCCACAGTTAAACCTCGTGCTGCAGCTCAGCTCTGTCATGTTTTAAACTCTTCCACTGCTGGACAGTTTTTAGATGGTTTTAATCAAAACTGTGCCTTTCCAGAATCTGTATGTAACAACACAGAGGAGCTGATCTCCTGGCTTTACACAACCTGCAGAACTGTTTTGGACTCTGTGGCTCCCCTAAAAACAAAGCAGCCTAAAACCAGATCAGAGCCCTGGTTAAATGATGAGACTCGTACTGTCAGACGTGAGTGCTGGAGAGCTGAGCGCAAGTGGAAAAAGTACAAGTTAGAGGTGTCCTTTCAAATTTTAAAGGATTGCTGGCGTCATTATCAAAGAACTGTTAAAGATGCTGAGAGAACAATTCTCAGATTTAATTCTGTCAAATTGTCACTATCCTGCTGTCCTATTTAACCATCGATGTTGTCTTAAATGCTCCACAGACTGTCAGTATTGAGTCATCTCCTGCTGCTTGTGAGGAATTTCTTCACTTTTTTATTGATAAGATTACTTCTTCCAGGTCTGGGATATACAGTACAATTCCACATATGACCCTTCAGTCATTGTTCCCTGCTCTGTTGTTTTTGATAGGTTTCAGCCTGCCACTTTGTCTTCACTGCAGAAGATTGTTGAACATTTGAAACCTGCAGGTTCCCCATATGATACTGTCCCTCCTCGATTATTTAAAGAGGTCTTTCCATCTGTTGGACCCTGTGTTCTTGAACTTGTTAACAGTAGTCTGTCTTCAGGTGTTTTCCTTGTAAGTTTTAAACATGTACTCATCCAACCTTTAATTAAGAAACCTGCTCTAGATCCTGCTGTTGTTTCCAACTACAGGCCAATTTCAAAACTACCTTTCCTGTCAAAGACAATTGAGAAGATAGTTTATGAACAGCTGATGGTCTTTTTGAAAGAGCAAAATATTTTAGAAGTGTTACAGTCTGGTTTTAAATCACTACACAACACAAAATCAAGCCTTTTAAAAGTTTTTAATGATATACATTTGGCCACTGACTCTGGAGATTGTGTTATTCTTGTGCTTTTAGACGTAACTGCTGCCTTTGACACTGTGGACCATCAGATTTTAGTTCCTCGTTTGGAGCAGTGGGTGGGCATTAGAGGCACAGCACTGGAGTGGTTCAGATCTTATCTGAGTGAGAGAACATTCTGTGTCGGCCTTAAAGATCATGTGTCCTCTTCTGCTCCTGTATCATGTGGAGTCCCACAGGGATCAGTCTTAGGACCCCTTCTTTTTTGTTTTTATTTGCTTCCACTTGGGTCCATTTTTAGAAAGCATGGAATTTCATTTAACTTCTATGCAGATGATTGAGTATGGTTTATGTCCCCCTCAGGAAAAAATACATTGTCTACTGCACCACTGCTAAAATGTCTTGAGGACTTGAAGGCCTGGATGGCTTTCAGATTTTTACATTTGAATGAGAAGAAAACAGAGGTTATGTTTTTTGGCACATCCACTGATATCCCTCTTGTGGATTTACAGTCCTTGACTCCATACGTCAAACCAGTCATAACAAATCTGGGGGTCAAGGTGGACAGTGATCTTAGATTTGGTAAACATATAAGAGCAGTGGTTAAATCCAGCTTTTTTCATTTAAGACAGCTGGCTAAAGTCAAGCCCATTCTTTCTAGAAAGAACTTCGAGGTAGTAATCCACTCCATTATCACTCGGTTGGATTACTGTAATGGACTTTATATAGGGGTCAGTGCTTCCTCTGTCCCTCACCTCAAAAGGGTCCAAAATGCTGCCGCACATCTTTTAACTGGCACAAAAAGCATGACCACATTTCCCCAGTTTTAGACTCACTGCACTGGCTGCCTGTTCATTTTAGGATTCATTTTAAAGTTTTTATTTGTTTTTAAAGCATTAAATGGTCTTGCCTCACATTATCTCACTGAGCTGCTGCAACCCTATATCCCCTCCCATTCTCTCAGGTCAGCAGACCAGCTGCTCCTGAGAGTCCCAAAAACTAACTGTAAGCTTAGAGGGGATCGTGCCTTCTCTACTGCTGCTCCTAAAATGTGGAACAACCTGCCTTTGGGCATCAGACAGGCTACTTCTCTGTCGACTTTTAAAACGCTACTTAAAACCCATCTCTTCTCTTTGGCTTTTGGCACCATCTGAGATGTTGACTTTTTAGTTTGTTTGACATTGTTTTAATTGGTTTTATGTGTTTGTTTTATTGTATAGTTTATTTTTAGATTAGGCATTTATTATTCACTGTGACTGTGTTTTATTGATTGTGACTGTACAGCACTTTGGTCCTATGGTTGTTTAAGTGCT